TGAGTCGCGTGCGGCGGGGCAACCATCTTCAATGTGGCACTAACTAACTAGTTAGACACTAACAGCTGCCCCATTGTTGCCGGGCCTGGTGAAGCACATGCAAATTTAAAAATGCATTACATGTGAGTGTTTCCAGAGGGGGTGAAGGTGTGGGTGGTGGGCGGTGGGTCAGAGGTCAGATAGTGGCGGTGTATACAGAAGTCACACAGCGAAAGTGAGGAAGGAGCCCGCTCGAAGACTACGGAAAAAAAGCACACATATGGGTAAGAGAGGAGAAAAACAACAAGGCCACTTTCTGTGTGTCTTCATGGGTCAGGCAAATAAAAAGGGTTTTCACGTGTGTGTGTGTGTGTATGTGTGTGCGAAAAAGTGCCGGAAAAACGGGAAAAGTGGGAAGAGACGCCCGAAAACAACCCTGACACAATGCAATGAACTTTAAACCCCACACAAATGTTTGACTTGGCCAAATGTTTACCCATGTCAAAGCCAAACGAAACCAAAACAACAAAATATTATTCATTATGAAAATGTCCGAAAACGAAAAAGTACTGTATGTGAGCCAACAATTTCATCAGTAGTATAAAGGGGGAAATCCCTCAGAAAAGTTTCTAAATAAACGAGAACTCTGCCAAGAGTGTAAAAATTAATTGACGAAATTTCAGGCTGACAACGAATGAAATGCGAAAAGCGCAATCAAGTTACAAACACTAAACTATTTCAAATAAGAAGTTTGAAAAGTATGGGAAAATATGATTAAAAATGTAAATGTAAGTTCTTATTAATTGCATAATAATAAACCTTTTAAAATTGAAACAGCCTTTTTTTAATACAAAGTATTTTTTCCCTGTAAAATGTCACTTAAATTTAGTAAAATTTGCGCACACTGGTGTTGAATTTTCCATGGGAAAACAAGGAAGCAATTATGTTTATGCAAACTGGTTTTTTGTTCACACAAGAGCACTTTTATTCGACGATTTTAGATGTTTTTTATTTTTTTGGAGTCAGGAAGTATCGAAAAATTTGCTGTCAAAACCACAACAAAGCAAATCTTTGATAACATAAACTCAATTAACACACACATAGGCACAACACACACACACACACTCGCAGAGAAAAGCACTCCCCAAACATTGACATGTATTAAAATACCTTTTTGCATGTCCTGTGACAGGCAGCAAAAATTAACCAAAACAACGTTACGGCTGAGTTCCTTAAATGTGATTGTGATTGTGAGTGAGTGAGTGTGTATGTGTGATCGTTGCTTGTGCATGACTGTGTGAGTGTCGGCAATTAATGCTGTCATTGTGGGCACAATATTGTGCCTGCTTTGCGTGCAGTCACAAAATGGCAATTTAACCAAAAAGAGTATTCTCAAAATATAAGCAGAACCCTGCAAAAAGTTAGCAAATTAATACTGAAAATGTATGACTGAGAACTCAAAGCAAAGTATTTCCATAAGTAGTAAATTAACATAAGAAAACCAAATAATATCAGCAGTATCAGTAAGCCTTATAAACATTACGACTCAAGCTACTAAATAATTACCTACTGATATTTCATAGATTTATACTTCACAATGTGAATTTCAGGACAAATCAAAAACTAAGTTAAAGAGAAATATCCTTCCAGTATTTGCAATCCAATCGAAACGAATCGAATCGAATTGCATTTGGAAAATGCCAAATTAAACGCTCTTTGACTTTGGTTTATTACAAATTTTGTAGAACCCATCCACCCACACAGACGCACTCATATACGAGTGTTGGTGGCACACACAAACACATCATGTTTCATTTAAGTAAACAAAAGCCGAAACATTTTTGGATCACAACATTTTTGAGGATGGCATTCTGGGTTCTGTTCTCAAGTTCTGTGTGCATTTCTTTTACCACTTTCCTTCCATTTTCCCCCCCACTTTTGAACTAGTACACTTTCTGAGCTCTCTCCACGCACACGCACACACACACACACCAACACCCACACACTCAAGCACTGACATCCTGCAATATCCTTTTTTGCAGCAGTCACAATCAAATGGCTAGATGGAGAGATTGCATCTCTTGTGGCACAGAAATTGCGCATACGCCATGTTTTCGCTGGCATTTTTCCGCAAAGATAGCTATCAGCAAACCGTAGTATACATTTATGCCTTTCAATTGTTCATGATGAGCACACACACACACGCACACACAAACACAAACAGACATATGCACATACAATAAAAGATTTCCGAAATAAACGCCAACGTAAAAATTTATTCGCGTTGGCGCTCAGAACATCTCACAAAGGTAAACAAGCTAATGAAATTGTGCGAATCTGATCGCCCCACCAATTACCCTTTACTTCGATTTGCATTAGCTACTCTTATTATTACGAATTTTTAATTCAAAAGTGTCGAAATTTTAATTAGGATTATGGTTTTTACTTTGCTTTGTTCATACACTTAATATAAAATCCAGAAAAATTCGCGAAACAGCTTAAATCAAATTAGATGTAATATATAACATGTTGGATATGCTATAACATACACTTAAATCTCCAAATTTCATTTGATTTTCCGCCAAATATTAATATAGCATCCATAAAGGCAGCAAACAAATGTGATTACCAGTTGGCAGCATTCAAAGCTGCACAGTGAAATCCAAGAAACTCATCAAAGAATTCAAAATATATTTTAATAAAGTGTTCTAGATTCGTATGAAGTGCGTTATTGGCCCAACCATGTTCCCCGGGGTATTATAATCTGTCATTTGCAGCGAATCAAGGCAAACAGAAGTGCGGAGTGAGGGGTGAGGAGCGAGGGGGTCACATCACAGAGAGAGGTGGCTCAAAAACTGAAACCGAAATGCAAAACGTGACTTTTCCCGGACCCGTCGACTGAGGCGCTAACTGCCAGACTTGCTGACAACGGCGGACAGACTTCAGACTTTCCGGCTTCCCGGCTTCCCATCTTCCCGCCTTCCCATCTTCCCGGCTTCCCATCTTCCCGCCTTCCAGACGGACAGCCAGCCGTACAGTTTTGTAAATTTGTTTGCCTTCCTCGCGCGTTCTTGGCAATTATTAGCGGGGCAAGTCAACAAGCCGCAAAAAAGAAAATGAAATATCGGGAGGGGCATCCCCATTTCCATAACGAAAACCCCTTTTAATATCAATAAGCGAGTGAATAAAGGAAATTCCCAATTTACTGGTTTTGCTTTGATAGATGAAAAACGGGAAAACCAAATATATTCGGGCTTTATTTCTCAGCATTTTTAAGCGAGTATATATCAAATTATTCAAGACATAACTATAAACATGAATAGATAAAAATATAATATAATAACATGATTAAGTGCAAGCCCATTGTTACAAATAAATTAATAAGGTAAAGCAAGTAATTGAAATAAACATCAGCTTCAAGTGTTTCAATTGCATTAAACAGTAATATTTAAATTTAATATAACAGAATGGGAGCCAACGTGGAATGCTAATTGTGTTAAAATTGAAATTATATGCCTTTATTTCAAATTTGAAATTCATTTCAATTTGTTCGACCAAGCCGGGAACATATCAGATTGTTGATAAATTTATGAACTGCCGTCCAAGGATTCGGTTGCGAATTCTCTGGCTTCATCCGCAGCTTTTGCGCTTCATGCATATTTATTTATTTATTTATTGGTTTGTTTGCCTTTGCCTTTGCGTTTGCCTTTGCTGACTGCTGGCATATGTATTTGGTTAATTGCAATTGATCTCCCGCTTGCCGAGCGACCAACACCTGGACGCACCAGGAGACTCTCATCAAAATCAATTTCAAAAAATCAACAATTTCAGGTAACAAGCAACAACAAAAATATGCGAATAAATTGCATAATCGCGGGGTGTATTGTGTATAGTGTGTGATTGGGTTTAAGGTTTTGTGTTTGCGTTTGTATTTGGGTTTGGGTTTGGATTTGGGTTCGGGCTAGGAAAACTTGAACAAAACCGCAAGCCAACCGAGTTGAAGTGTGGGTGGTGCAGATGGGTGTTTCAGTTCTGTTTAGGCGGCGGCGGTGCTTTCGAAGTGAGTTAAACCGCAAGAACCGCTGACCTGCTTACTTGAGTGCTGGACACAAAGTGGGGCCCACACTGGCTGTGTGTTCGTGCAACATGCAACACCAACGCAACCCCCTCCACCCTTGACGTGAATGCACACGCAACCCCACGCTGACAACAATGCAACAGACACAACCGGCAACACAAACAGAAATTGCAACACAGCAACAAAAGACACAGACGGCCAATACTTTGGGGTAATGCCATGAGAAATTATTAAATAATATATCTTATATTTTTACTAATAAAATGTAGCTTAATAACTTTTGAAAATTGAAAACAAGATACCATTTAAACATGTTTGCTTAGAACTTATATTATAATTTTGCGGCTAATTGATAAGCTTATTTAATAAATTGTCTAATAAAGATGATTGGTTGCTGTTTTGGCCACTTCTATTATCACAGGGTGTGCCATCATCTCTCAGTGTCACGCGAAAGACTTAATCAGACGTATTCAAAGCGAATTTCAAAACGCCCTTGATAAATGTGTGTATTAAAGTGCATTACCATTTGCCCATTTGCTGTTATAGTGGGCGCAACTATGTCAATCGGCGGGTTTTACTTGCCTAACGTATGTACGAGTATGCATTAGCCAAACTTAATTAATTACTTTGTCCGCGCGTAATTACAAAGTCAGTTGAGAGGGGTGTCTAACCGCAAAACTCAATTGAATTGCTGAACGAAGGTGGTGAACCAAAACTGAAGGCAACTTAAGTGGAAAGTTTATATTGAGAGCGATAGGTTGGGCAAAATCAAATAAGGTGTTTTAATCAATGTATTCAAAGCACAATCTATTCAAAAAATAATATATTTACGCTCAACGATTGGGCCCTTGTTTACGGATACTAATAAACGAAGTTCAAGTATAGAAAGTTCAACGCGTGGGCACTCTAAAAGACTTAAATCACATTTATACGGTTGACTCACCTCTAAACGGTTTTCCAAGATAACATCTTTATGTGCTGGCGAAATTGATAAACCCCTTCAAGGTGATAACTAAAAAAATATGGCAAATAAGTACGTTGGGTGTGTGATTACAATGCCCAACAAGTGTGCAAATAGGTATTGATTCTATTTGATTAATTGTTACAGGCAATCGAAAATGTAAACAATATGTTAACAGCTTGATTATCGCACACATTCCGATATGAGGGCTTTTTGGGGCTGGTAATTCCTATTCCTATAATTACAGCGGTAGTTGGACAAAGCATTTCAGTAGCACAGATAAAACCACACGAAACAGCAGCCAACAAGAAAAAGAGAACAAGTTTGAAATAAAACATAAAATGCATAAGAAATTTGGGAGAAATAACCATTTGCCATTTGCCATTTGGCGATTTCGACGATGCCGGCGTAATTAAAAATTTCTTATCAATTTCAATTGTTAATTGTTGTGGCTGATTCTACACACAGTGAGTACCGTGTTCAGGTATCTATATCTACTGTACATGCATTTTTATGACCGCTCATACGTTTACCGTGCTTTTTTGGTCTAAATGCGGAATATGAAAGGATAGATCGATAAAGCCAAAAAATCCCCCTAATACGGAAACGACCTGGCATATAAATACGAGTATATTATGACACTTGCTGAATATCATTTCGGCTTAGCACAATGTAGTTGCAACAATTAAATACCATACATCTCATCCAGAAACTAACTGGCCACATTTGCTTGGCTAGATTAGTTAGACAACACATATTGACAACATGGATTAAGGACTTCCACTAAATTACATTCAATAACCTCTATCGCTAAAATTATTTGAGCAGTTTACAAGAAACACAGGCCGTTGAGCCCCCAAATTAGGATTTCGGATGCTTGCACCCAAAACCAAAATGCAAATCAAAATCATTATGTTCGTCTCACTTTTCCCAGGTAAAGTAGCCTACACACGCAAAGCTGGAGACTACACGTGCAAAAAAACGTATAAGTTTCTTCAAAGGGAGTTATAATAATAAATATTATTATATCTAATATATAATATTGCAGTACTGCAATAAACAAAATATTTAATTGGAATTATTCAGTTTCCTGCCTTACAACTCAGTCTAGTTTCCTGTCCTGTTACATTTTTAAAAAGGGACTTGAAAGCAAGTTTTCTTGCCCTATTTTTGATGTCTTCTAACTTACTTGCCAGTGTTCCATGCAGAGAGGAATATTGGTAGCCTTGTCTTGGCCTGACCTCAGAACTCAGTCGCATCCCCGAGGCTAGCAAATCGAGCTAGATGTTTTCACTTGCCATTTCCGGGCTGCAACAACAAACCGCAAGCCCACACGCACGCAAACACACACAAGCACACACCCACATCCGCACCCACACCCACAACCACACACATACATGCAACACTCTCGCACGGGGGAAAAATGAAAATTTAGGAAGGACATGGCATTGTTCCGATGAATCCTGTTGTGGCCATCAGAGAAAACAAGCCAGGCCCAGTTAAATGGCATGCGTACTCGTATTCGCACTCATATTATATCGTTACCATAATTAGCACCATCAGCTGGTTGGTATTGGAGGACTTAGGTCGAGTTGTGGGATATTAAATTAATTCATAGCTAAATGAATGGCAAACGCATTCATTTGACATTTGTATTTATAAGATTATGTGTTTAGTGTGCTACTCTAGTAGCATAAACGGAATGTGGCAATTATTTGAAGACGCATTTCTCTGGCATTTCATTTAATGAACATTGTGTTTTTGTACACCAAAGCTTGGATAATAGGGAGCGAGTTTATTTAGTACTGAAAGTGTAGTTTAAATTTATAGAGTATTTGTATGTATCAGAAGATATGTAGTTTCTGTAGTGTTTTCAGTTTCAGTTGTTTCGAATAAGAACTTCCTCAAGTTTACATTTTTTGGCAACCATTCCATTTTATTGGCAATGACAACTGGTTTTATAATTTGGTTTGCGATTTTCGTTCATTTTTTTTTCGAATTAATGCCAAGGCACTTGTTGCCACATGATGTGCATGCAAAAGATATGCAGATGGGGCTTTATACAACTTCGATTCCAGAGCGGCACGCGACTTTGCGCCTGCGCATTTGATTATAATGAAAAGAGGCAACAAAAGTCGAGCGAATTATTTGGCCAAAATCATGCCAGTCATGTAGCGACGTCAGTATTATATTTGTTTATTTTATTCATGCCGTATTTTCTGTAGCCGCTGACAAATTGAACCAAAATGATAAAGCAAGCGTAGAGGTGTTAGCTTCTTTTTTTTCGGCTCTCAGACGAATTTCAATTTGTTAATGATCACAATAAATTCAACGTCCGCATGTGTGATCCAGACTTCTGGGTTTTATTTTTTTATGATTATTAGGATTACTTTGTGTTTATTTATTTTATTTTTTTTTTTTTGTGACAAAATCGTTTTGTGGCGCTAATTGGTTGGTTAAAGATTCGATACATTGGCTAACTAATAGACCACGGATCTCTGAGCCGAATCCATTATCTTTTGGGCCTGTTTGTGTGGGGCAAACAGTGGAGAAATATTAAATGAAAATAAAACGAAATAAGATCTCCAGCATTTGGCCCAAATTAGGTTCTGTTCAAACACCGTTCACGAACCTGTTATTTAAAAGCTGTTGACAACTTGTTGCCAGCGGACAAACAGCGCCAACATTTCCCAAGAATGCGAGATCACCTGTTGCCACCTCCCACACACACTTCGTTATTATTATCCATACCTTTATCTGGGTATATAATTTTATTGGGGATATTCTTTGGGGCAGAGTCGGCCGCTTTGAAGAGAAGAGGTAAACAAAAGCATTGATCAAACAGTCAAACAATCCCATCTAGCTCAACTTTGACAATTCGTGACATTCCACAAATATTTACACCTTCATTCGGTCAGCCACAGATCCCCGAAATACGTTTGTTTTATAATTTATGTACTCATAAAGACCATAAAATGCAATCCCAAGACTCTAATGGTTCATCTTCTGGATCTCTTTATTACTAAGAAATATATCCCGAATATCACGTCTATTTTTTCTAGTCTATTTTTGTGTTTTTATTCAATCCAATGAAATGCGTAGCTATCAGCTATCGAATTGGGTAATTAATGTTTATTTGCCCATAAAATGGATTTTATTGATACATTTTATTAAAATATATGCAATCTCGCTTACGTTTATAGCGATTATATTTACATTTAATGGGGTATAGTAAAAGTGCGATTTAAAAACTGAATCGATTGGCTATTCAGTGATTTTTAGTGTTGCCTTTTTGATATACTGTTACTAAAATAAGTTATTGGTAATTTATTCCGATTAAATTGACACCCAAAGTGAACTGAGACCTCGTGCAGTATACATTTCCCCACTTATCACCAGATTTACCTGACCACTGACGCTTTTCAGCCAGATAGTACGCCGTAGATATACCCTCTGTGTACCGAACATATATATCTAGTTCAAATTCAATTCGCAAACAGGTCGGCGACAAAACATTTGTTTGATAAAACGCTATCGGCCATGGGGGTCTGTGACACCCGAATAAAATGACTACGATGGAGAAGTTTGGGGTGTGGAAAGGAAAAGGGCGGCGGAGTTGGTCTAAATTGGGAACCGACTTTCCGACAGTCCATCGTTGATAATACAATTGTCTACGCTTTTTTTTTTGTTTTCTGTTTTTGTATTTTGTTTGTATTTTTATTTTTATACACTCGGGTGGCAGCTTTTCTGCACTTCTTCTTGGGCACTTTTCTCTTCGATTTTTAAGCGCAGCACGTGCAAGCTGCACTTGGCACTCTCTTTCCCCGATCCTCTCTGCGGCTCTCTTGCTTCTCTTGGCGACTCTCTTTTATGGGCATAACCAGCGGACTTGTTTGTTATTCTCGCTCGCGGGCAAAGTCCACCAAGTGATGCTAAAGTTCATCGGCTTTTATTTTACTATATTTACAAATAGAGGTATTATTTCACTTAAAATTGCTTAAGGAATGCGGTACATTTAATTTTATATTTTTTGAAATTTTTGTTTGATTATAAAAATACATTGTAATTATTTGCAATATTTTATTTCAATTCATTTTGCGTAAAACAAATACTAAGCGTTTTCAATTGGTAATTCATCAAAGTCTAATCATCATACTCCATATTAAACCCAGTTTTCATGTATAGAAACATCATTGTAGTTTCCCATGTTTCACGAATACTGTTTACATTATTTGAAGTGAACGCGGGTATTTAATCTTCCAAGGGTGAGTGTTTCAATATTACAAGAATAAATACTCTCGACTTTTTCATCGCTCTCTCTTGAACCATTTTTTTGAACTCTCCGCCCAGCGGTCTTATCAATTTATTACGTTTTTCTAGTTGACTTTTTATACATTTTGTTGTTGTTGTTGTGCTTTTTTGTTTGCATTACGTAGCACACTGATATAAGACGACAGGGCGTAATCAAGAGTCAAAGCCAGTCCCCCACAAACGACAACTACCGCCCACCGCCCACCGACCACCACCCACCTCCCACCAGCCACCCACTGCCCTTTTTCGAACGACCTCAAAAAGCGACAAGTGAACTTTTGTCGGAATTATAGCGAATTAGTGGCGCGATTAATTGAAAACAATCAGAGACGAAATGTTGAAAATCTTAGAAACGTTTAAATCTGAATTCGCTATATGCAAGTCGCGTTTCCAGTGGAGACTGCACCGATCCAGAGTCACGAAAATAGCAACAGACCAAACCGAACCGGTTAAGAAAAAAGGCGAAAAAATACAAAACCTATGCGGCAACAGGTCCGATCGCAAAGCATAAAGTACACAGCGAGAAATGCACGAAAATTAACAAAACGCACCTAGAACATAGCATTTCAAAACTTAAGAGATTCACTCAAAAGATCTTGCAAGTGGCAAGTATATATGGAAAACTTTAGATAGTAAGGTGATTCATTTGTTAAACAATTTATCTTATATTTTCTTATATTTATAAGACAATCATCACAACTTCCCTGTTACATATTTACTTCATTTATTATAGAGTTTGA